GATTTTATTTGTCTTAGTGTGCGCATGTGGGTGAGTGTGCGCATGAGCGGGCTAGGGGGGAGGGGCAGAGGGAGAGGGAGAGAATCCCAAACAGACTCCACGCCAAGCTCAGAGACCAACACGGGGCTCCATCCCAGGACCCTGAGATCATGACCTGAGCCAAAACCAAGAGTCGGATGCCACCCAGGCGCCCCTAAGAAAACTAACTTGACTGAGGTACACTTGCATACAGCATACCGTATCCATTTAAGGTATACGGTTTGATGGGATGTGTATGACAGATTTTTTTTTTTTTCCCCCTGTGAAGCCACTGTTACAGTCGAGATCCAGAGCACTTCATTGCCCTGAGAAGACTCTTCATGTCTATTTGCAGCCCAGCCCTCCCTCCCTCCCACGGATCTGCCTTTTGTCACTACAGACGAGTCTGCGTTTCCCAGAATTTTATATTAATGGAATCATACAGTGTATTCTCTTGTGCCTGGCTCTCACTCAGCATGAAGTGTTTGAGATCATTGTTGGGAGCGTCAGTCTTTCCTTTTTATTGCTGAGTTATTTTATTTCCACTATCTACATAGACCACATTTTATTTATCCATTTACCTGTCACGAGCATGTGGATTATTTCCAGTTTGGGGCCACTGTGAATTAAACTGCTGTGAGCATTCATGTACAAGTCTTTGTGTAGACATGTTTTTATTTCTCTTGGGTTAATACCCGTGAATGGAATGGCTGGGTTATATGGCAGCATTTTTCTTTTCCCTTAAAGATGTTTTATCTTACATAAAATGTAACAGAGATAATAAGGAATGGTATGTACAAATGGTATGCAACTAGTTTTGAAATAAGCGTGAGAAAAGCTTTTTTTAATGTAAGCATAATATGCAAATCTGTTAAAGAAGGTTTTAATATGTTATTTTGCATCAAATAAATCTGGATTTACAAAAAAAAAGTGACATGAAACTTTAAACAGTCACATAGTAAATGAAAACTTTTTTTTCCTGTTCTTGCAGTAAAAAAATCACAATTTTGTACTTAAAACTGGGGAGAGAGCCTCACAAAAATGTACAAGTATGAATTGTTGGGGCTGGGCAAATCCTCCTGAGAGCACTGTGCAAGTCAGGGGAGATGGTGGAGAGGCCCTCTGGAAGGTCCCGTCATCATTGTCTGCTTCTCCTCTGTGGTTCATGGCTTTTGTCCACGACATTTATGAGACATGATGCAGGAGCTCTGCTGTCCACTGAGCGTAGATGGGGGAGAGGCCCCCCCGGCATCATGAGCCCAGGTGTTTGTCACCCCCTGCATTATACCACCACTCAGAGTGGTCAGTCCTCTTTAAAAATGGGGGAGGGGTGTTAGTATTAAAAGGGATCTTTTTTTTAAGATTTTATTTATTTGTCAGAGAGAGCAAGCGAGCACAAGCAGGGGGAGCGGCAGACAGAGGGAGAAGCAGACTCCCTGCTGAGCAAGGAGCCCAACACAGGGCTCGATCCCAGGACTCTGGGATCATGACCTGAGCCGAAGGCAGATGCTTAACTGACTGAGCCACCCAGGATTTTTATATAGAATCTTTTTAGAATAGTTCTGTTGTTCAGGGGTTTGGAGTGTTTGAAGGACCAGGTAGGTAGATAATCTAATTTGGAATTGAGGTGTCAGTTGAAGGTTATTTTAAAGAATCTGTGATTTATGTCCCTACATAAGTTAGATGTCAGGAGTTAAGTGTAATTTAAAGTTGGGGAGATGGATCTTTTCATAACTGCATATGGTAAATTACCTATTTAGTCTCCTTTAGTACCTTATTACGTACTGTTTTCCATCCTAACATTTAAGTACTACTTAAATGTTTGTGATCTCCTGCAAGACTCCCTAACGACAGTGTATAAGACCCGTGTGGTTAACAAGGGGGTGCCAACAGTCCTCGGATCCTTTATTTACTGTCTGTTGGCCTTTGGGGTGGGGCGAGAAGCTTGGCCTCAGTGGCCTCATGCTCCGGGGTGCTCACTCTGTCACCACCTAGTTCACTCGAGCACGCGCCTGAAGACTTGGGGAAAGGAAGGGTAAAATCTTTGCGGGAGGTTGGGTACCCCTGAGAGCAGTCATTTTTTTCTTGATGCGTTCTTGGATGCCTTATTTCCCAACCGGTACTATAGATGACTTTTTGGCAGGACTGTGTTGGACTAAACAGACAACTTTCATGTTCTACAGCACTACTTATAGCTTTGTATTTAATTAGGCATTTTACATTTTCAGTATAAACTTTAATCTGTACAGTCACTTTGTCATCGATGTGAGGTTTGTGGCATTAATTATGTTGACTTGGTCAAAGTTACGAACTGATGTATGTGCTTGCAAAGTTCCCAGTTGTCTTAACCATCGGCAACGGCATTTATCCCAATGACTCTGAAACCAGGTAATTGATGATAGAGACTTTACTTTAATTCGATACTTTTAAAAGGTAATTTCTATGAAAATCACCATGCAGTGCATATGATAAAGCTCTTTCCTTTACAGTGGGAGAAAGCAGTGGGTCAGATTTCTTTCTTTTCCTTCCAAATTCTCAACTCCTGGGAATAGGGAAAGTAGAGACCACGCCACCAGCTTTGTCCCTGGTGAGAGGGGTTGGAGGAGTTGCCTAACTGGAAGCATCTGGGAAGGGGTTGCAGATTTGTGAAGTAGGTCATGTTTCTCCCTGCTTCCTCCCTGGCGATCGGCTTTCTTGAACGTTTGGAGTGACTGTTGGACATGACCAGTAGTTTCAAGTACTACCTTCCTTCTGACGCCGCCTACATTACTACAGCCCGTCCTCATTATTTGTGGGGTCCGTATTTGTGAATCTGACCACTCACTAAAATTTATTTGTCACTCCAAATCAGGACAAAATCGGTGCTCTCGCAGTGGTTTGTGGGCACGTGCAGGCCCATGGAAAATGCCCATCGCCCACGGCAGGTTCCTGCATGTGCGGAACAGGGTGACGTTCTGCCTTCCTGGCCCGGCTCTCGTGCTGTAAACAAGGGCGCTTTGCAGCCTGTTCGGAGCCGCGTCTTCACCCTTTCTGGTGGCGATTTCACTGTTAATAACAGCCCCAGGCACAGTGCCGATGTGCTGGCTAGTGTCCGTGGTGCAGGCGGACTGCTGTGCCCCACTGGGAAAGTGTTAGATGAGCTTCCTTTGAGCCTGAGTTCAGTGTCAGCGAATCAACAGCATAGAGTAAATTGGGTGTCCTTGAGAGGAACACAGCTAGGGGGGCTTACGTATTGATGGGTGAGACAGTGTGATCGGGGCTCCCAGGAACCTAGCCCTGGACTTTCCCCGGGAATGCGCTGTAGTGCTGGGCTGGTCCAGTTTAGCAACAGCTTTCTAGGACACAGCTACCCAGATCGCCCCAGCCGGTGGTGTCTCTGGCCCTCCTCCGCCCTCTGAGCTTCAGGCTCTGGTGGCTCACTTGTCATCCCCCCTGGGATGCCCGAGGGGGTCTTACTCAGGGTGACACAGCTCTCCCCATCCCAGGAAATAGCGCGCCTGTCCACATAGGTGTGCAGGTCAGATGTCGGGGAATCAGCTCCGACTCCTTCCTTTCTCTCATTTTCCAGTTCGTTCTGCCTCCAGAATCTCTTCTAAAGCAATCTGCTTGTCTCCGTCTCTACTGCGGCCAAGTTTGAGGAGGCCACCGACTCTGCTGTCTGGGGTGTAACCCCAGCTTCCTGTGACAGACATCACCGTGTGCTCAGGTCATGCTCTCCCCCTTCTGCTGGCATTTGATTGGCCGTCCCTTCTCGGACCCAGAGCACACGGGCTGAGAGAGATCTCATGCAGGCATACTGGGTGTTTCTTTGGGTAATGGCAGGTTCTGCAAACGGAGAACTGCCTCTAAACCTGGTAGGAATGTTTTTGAGTCTGGAAGGGAGTGTGTGTGTGTGTGTGTGTGTGTGTGTCTTGAAGAAAATCTTGAAGAAACACCGTTTCAAAAATACATTGTTAGAGTTTTCTTGTTTTGTATCTTCCTGAAACCACCTGCCTTCTGAAACAAGGAGACCAGATTTTAGACAAAACAGTGGTTTCTGCTCAGTTTGTTTTAAAATCAGTAACAGATACCAGGAGAAAGGTCCAACCGGCTGACTTCTGTGGTGCCACCTTGCGCCTTCATTGCTCTGCCCCACGACCCAGTGTGGGCACAGTCTGTCTTCCTCATCAGCTCCTCTGTCATGTGATGGCTTCGTCTCCATGGGTTCATTTTGTTGTCTGTCAGCTGAGTAAAAGGATGGGTGGAGTGCACGGATTTTGTAACATTGGTCTTGTGGTTTTACAGAGAAAGGGGTCATGTATAATTAACAAGACAGAAAGGGAGCAAAGGAAACAGGAAGGAGATGCGCAGTGCTCACATGGCGGAGTGGATGTCCAAAGCAGAAAAAAGCAAGCAGGCAAACTCCTGCATCCCCCCTGCCCCCCCATCTGTACTCACTCTGACTTGTCAGAGAACTGCTGGAATTTCATACCATGGTGTTAATTGTTTGCATACTTTGTGAAACCTGGGCATATTTTTCTAAGTCTACTAATTGAATTTGGTTTAGAAGTGTATAGAAAACCCAGTGAGTAGATTTGATCATCCCTGCTCAAGTAGTAAAAGTACCAGAAAGATCACTTCTCGAAATATCAGTTGAATTTATCATAAGTAGTTGGTGCTTGTAATGTGTTAGTTTAATCGAGTTAAAGAATGAATTTCTAGATAGTTTGGTCACCATTGCCTTCCTTCAAAACTGTTAGGTTTGTTTGATCTTTAAACATTTTCCTTTTGACCCAGGACAGTGTTAACCTCCCATTCCTTCTGCGGTGGGCTGATGAGTATTTCTGCCGAGCTGATGGGATACCGAACGTGATTACTCTGTGATCACTTAAAAGCCTGTAAAGTTGGTTCAGCAGAACCTTTGGAACCTTAGTTCATAGAACCATAAAATGTCCAGAGGTGGAACTTACAAATACGGGTCAACACCTTCCTGTGTAGGGGGCATGGTGGGTGACGGGAGAGAGCCATGGGAGGGGGCTGTGGGGCTGTACTTTGAAGAACAGGTAGGATCCAGATGGAAAACTAGACAATATTACAAAATTTATTTTTATCACAGCAATACACATGCATGCTTTAAAAGATCACACACCACAGGGCGCCTGGGTGGCTCAGATGGTTGTGTCTGCCTTTGGCTCAGGTCATGATCCCAGGGTCCTGGGATCGAGTCCCGCATCAGGCTCCCTGCTCCTTGGGAGCCTGCTTCTCCCTCTGCTCCCCCCCCCTCTCTGTCTCTCATGAATAAATAAATAAAAAGTTTTAAAAGATCACACACCACAGAGAAGTTTACATGAATGCTTGTCACAGCATTATTCCTCAGCTACAGAATGGATAAAGCAAACAAAGTACAGCCCTACAGTGGAATAGTATTCAGCCATAAGAAGGAAGAAAGTGCTGATCCATGCTACAGCATGGCTGAATCCTGAAAACATGCTGAGGGGAAGACACCTGACACAAAAGGCCACCTGTTGCATGGAGGCGAGTCCATAGACAAGGCAAGGTTACTGGCTGCCAGGGACTGGGGACTGAGTGACTGCTGATGGGAATGGAATTTTCTTTTTGGGGTGCTAAAAACGCCCTAGAATTAGATAGTGGTGGTAGTCATATGGCTTTGTGAATGCATGAAAACCACTGAATGGTACACTTTGAAAAAGTAAATTTTGTGGTTTGTGAATTATATCTTAATTTTTAAAAATTCTACCTTAAGGAAATTCATTGTGTTGATACCATTTTCAGGTTTAAGTAATTTTTCAAGTACTGTTAAGTCACATAGATAGTGGAACCTGCAGCGTAACCAACACTGATTCCGTTTGCCCTTTTAAATTTGGAAGGTCCGCACTGATTTCAGCCCCCGTGTTTAACAAATACAAATATTTGGGCGCCTGGGTGGCTCAGATGGTTAAGCGTCTGCCTTCGGCTCAGGTCATGAGTCCCGCATCGGGCTCCCTGCTCCTTGGGAGCCTGCTTCTCCCTCTGCCTCTCTCTCTCTCTCTCTGTCTTTCATGAATAAATAAATAAAAATCTTTAAAAAACAAACAAACAAAAAAAAAACAAATACAAACATTTGCCATCATGTAGAACGAACTAACTGATGAAAACCAGCAGTTCCCTGTCTCACCTGGAGACCTTCCCTGGGGCAACCATTCTGAAATTTGTTGGGCTGTTTGTCACACTGTGTTCCAGTTCAAAGCCATGTTCTATGACTGCTGTTGGACCGCCCGGTTCAGGTGTCCGTTGACTTTCTGTTGCGTACAGCTCTCCTCTGAGCCTCCACACTGCTTTTCCTCCAGCTCTTCTTCGCCTCCATTTGTCCTTCGCCTGGTTTTCTTGGAGATTATCGATTGCTTTCTAAAATCCTCTTCCTCTGCCCCAAGCTTCTCTCTGGTGCTTTCTATCTGCTTGAACACATCGGTCTGTTGTCTCTGCCTGGACAGAGCCTGTCATTCTGCTCAAATCCAGTCGTTCCTCTTACTCTACACTGTGGTCTCTGTTGGGACTTTGCCACAAGTCGTTCTGGGGTTCCCGCTCTGTTGGAACAGCTTTTTTTTAGGTCCCTTTCTTTTCTGTTTTGGGTTTATCGTAAGTTTGCAGAAGCATATTTTCTAGAAGTGGAAGGTTTATGTCCCGAGTTTGCATATTAGAAAATGTCTTGATGTGTCCTTAATACTTTTTTGTTCTTGGATTTGATGTAAAATTCTTTCTGTAAAGTTTTCTTGTAATTTTGATGGCTTGATTTGTTTACTGTTACATGTTCGTGAGAATTATCCACTTTGTTTCATGGAGCCTGTCCATTTTTACTGATGTATCATATTTCGTTGTTTGAATATAACACAATTTTTCAAAAATCCGTTCCGGTTTGATGGATATTTAGGTGGTTTCCAGTTTTGCGTTATTGCTTCAGACTCTGCTCTGACCACTCCTGCTCACACTTCCTGGTATTTGTGGGACGGGTATGTCCCCAGCAGCGTTGGGAGAAAAGTCTGGCTGCGGGTTTTTCTCCGCACTGAGCTGTGCAGCCAGCCCTGTCACGTGGCAAGCATTTATATCTGCACGGGGCTCTGCGTTCCCGTTCTTTCCGTCCTTCCCATGGCGGTACCACAGGATCTTACTTACAGTCCCTGAATCCAACAACTAACACCTGCTGGGTTGCGATTTGCACTGGCATCGAATCTGTAGATCATCTGGAAAAAGACTGACATCGTTAGTGTACGAGTCCTCGGTACAGTTTCCCTCTGCATTTATCTAGGTCCTCTTCAGAGTCTTTCAGTAACACTTTAGGATTTCTTTCCACAAAATCTTGCAGGTTGTTGATAGATCTGTTACTAGGTATCTGCTTTCTGGTGGATGCTGCCAATACGGCCGAAATGCACGTGTGCTTTATGTATCGATTTTGTTGTGACCAGCAGTCTTGTTAAACCCTGCTAATGATTCCAGCAGTTTATGTTTGGGTTCTTTCACCTGTTCTATGTGGACAGCCAAACCAACTGTGAAAGTAATGGTTTCATTTTTTTCTTCCCTCTTTGCAAACCTTATGTCCTTTTTCTTGCTCTGTTTAATTGGCTAGGGCATTAGGGCCTGATTCTCCTGCGCTCCTTGGTTGAGAAAGATCCGGCTAGAAAATCCTCTAGCTCAGCACCAAGGGAGTTGCCAAGACTGACACCCTTCATTTCTTCTCAGTCTTCATGGAGAAGCTTTCAAATTTTCCCTACAAAGTGTAACATACTATAAATTGTTTGTAGACACCTTCATCATGTTAAAAAAAAGATTCCTTTTTTTGCCAAGAGATTCTCTTTCTGTCATGAATGGATGTTCAGTCTATACAGTACTTTTCTTGCGTGTGTGCGTGCTTGTGCACGCCAGCGCACACAAACACACACATACACGTGTGATATTGCTGCAGGAATATGCGACCACGTCAGAGGACCAGCCCAGCCCTGTCCTGGCCCCTTTGCTGACCAGCTGTAGTTGAAAACGTGAAGTGTTGTCCTGTGTAAAACAGGCACTGCATTCTGAAACCTTAGTACGAAGAAAATAATGCAGTGTCTTATTAATAATTTAATATTTTTATTACATGCTGAAATGATGTTACAGATATATTGGGTTAAATAAAATTTATTATTTAAAGTTAATTTTACCTGTTCTTTTAGTTTTTTTTTTTAAGATTTTATTTATTTATTTGAGAGAGCGAGAATGAGAGAGAGAGAGAGCACATGAGAGGGGGGAGGGTTAGAGGGAGAAGCAGACTCCCCGCTGAGCAGGGAGCCCGATGTGGGACTCGATCCCGGGACTCCAGGATCATGACCTGAGCCGAAGGCAGTCGCTTAACCAACTGAGCCACCCAGGCGCTCTGTTCTTTTAGTTTTTTGATGGGGCTACTAGAAAATTTAGAATTATATATTTGGTTCACATTGTATATTTCTTTGGATACCACTGGCTAGATAGACCAGTGCTTGTGTGCAAACTTAGTTTGTAACAATAGCAGCTATCAGGTATTGAGTGTTTCCGGGATATCTGTACTGCTCTAAGCACTTTTCTTTTCTTTTTTTTTAATGTTTTATTTATTTATTCATGAGAGTCAGAGAGAGAGAGAGAGGCAGAGGCAGAGGGAGAAGCAGGCTTCCCGCGGAGCAGGGAGCCCGATGCGGGACTCAATCCCAGGACCCTGGGGTCATGACCTGAGCCGAAGGCAGACGCTTAACTGACTGAGCCACCCAGGTGCCCCTCTAAGCACTTTTCTAATAACCCTGTGAAGTGGGTAGATTTTCTCCATTTCCTCGATCAGCAACCTCACAGACATGGAAAGAGGAAGCAACTCACAGACGCCTGGCTCACATGGCTTGCAGGTGGGACACCCAGGAAGGCCCCCCAGGCAGTTGGGACCTGGGCCTGTGCTTTTAGTCACCACCTGTCCAGACCACTGTGACACCTCACATCAGTGGGGAAAGGATGTGCTTCTCAGTAAACAGTGATGACACTTGACTATCCATTCAGGAAAAATTTAAATTCCCTTTGTCATTCTGTACTTAAAAGAAAAAACAAAAAAACTCCAGATGGATTACAGATCAAAGTATATAGACATTAATATGTAGTTTATGTACATGTTTGTGTGTGTACATATTTATTATATATACTTCGAAGATTTTTATTTATTTTTCTTTATTTGAGAGAGAACAAGAGAGCAAGCGAGCGTGGGGAGGAGCAGAGGGAGAACAAGCAGACTCCCCACTAAGCGCAGAGCCCGATGCGGGACTTGATCCCAGGATGCTGAGATCATGACCCGAGCTGAAATCAAGTCGGACACTTAACTGACTGAGCCACCCAGGAGCGCTACCCTATATTATATATGCTTTGACCTGTAATCGATTTGAAGGTTTTTGTGTGTTTTTCAAAGTATAGAATGACAAAAATATGTAAATATATACAGAGTATACGTTATATACATATATGTATGTAACATAAATTTGAAAGTGAATATTTTTTACAATTCATTCGGAAGGAACACCACTTCCTAGACAGGTCGCAAAAACCCAGATCATGAGAGAAAAAATAATTGACAGACTTGACTTCATATGAATAAACTTAACATATAAATATAATATTTATATTTTGTGTGACAGAAGCTTTCATAAAAAAAGTTAAGACAGCCAGTATAGTTGGAGAAAATGTTTGTAACACTTACAAGTGAAGGATTACTCTCCATAACTCATGGAGGGTGCCTACAAATTAATAAGAAGACAGGCAGTAGAAAATAGGAGAAAAGATATGAATGGTTCACAGAAGCGCAGAGAGCCAATAAACCTGAGTGATCAGTATTGCTAGTGAACAGGGGGGTAGTAATTACAACGGCCAGGAAAAGAGCGCTGACAGGGTTGTGGGGACGCGGGTGTTCTTGAGTGTGGTGTTCAGTTTCACGAGGCCATTCGAGGCAGTTCGGTCGTTTGGTCGTCTGGCCGGTTGTACCACCCGGTTCGTGACCTTGGTTTCTCAGTACCACCCTCCGTTGCAA